AAGTTTGCTCCACAGTTGTGAATGCATGACTAAAAGGTATCAGGCAGCCTTGTCTAGAAGGAACCAATGATTTTCAGAACAGCTGTCACCTTGGGAGAGGATAGCCTCCCACTTCTGCAGCTGGCACTGTTCCATCACTGTGTCCAAAAACATACCGAGCCTGCACTGACACTGTGCCTCACTCGTTCCCAGCAAATGCAGTCAGGACCAAAAAATCTCTAGTCCTCCTGAGGGGCCCTGTAACAGTGACCTCTCCATGAGTTGCATGCCCCTCGGCCTCCACACTGAACACTGCTATATTCTGGTGGCCCTAGTGCTCCTGCATCAGCCACAGTGACCAACATTGCACCAGCAGCTGGGTGCGGGACTCTTGGTGGAAATAACCTAAATGGGGAACTTAAAGAGGGAAAGAGGTTTGAGTCTCTCATGAGAGTCATCGGTGGCATACCCTGCAGATGAGGGCTGCACACACTTGTCCAGACAGTGAGACATGCAGCACCCTGATAACAAGGGCCATGCCTCCACCATTCATCAGCTTCAGCCACAGCATATGCAACAACTTGGTGAATGGGCCACATTGGCTGAGTGACAAACATGTTACAACAAACGGGACTACCTGCTACAATCAGGCTGCCTTGCTATCCCAGACCCACGTCAATCATTTCATTATGTTCAGGTAACTTATATGACAGATGTTGAATCAATGGTCTCTGCCTCCCACTGCAGCCTTGTAAGTTGCATGAGTAATGGGTTATCTTTGATCAGTATTGACCTCCTTTTAAATGATTGCTCCCCACCTGAATATCATTAAGATGTTGCCAATATTTGATTTGTAAGGACCAATGGCATGATGTAAATTGCCTCTGACTATCATTTAAACCCGGAGCTTGTTCACTCTGTGTGCATTGTAAATGGATGATAAATTGATTGCAGACTAAATATAGCTGCACATTGCAAGTGCATGCTTCATGTATTTGCCCCTTCAGTGTCCTAACATCCAGTAAATAAGGAGCCTGCACTTTCACCACCAAGCTGACACTGATTCTGCCCACACTGGGCATTGGCCCAAGCGTTTTCCTGTTGCAGTTAGTATCTGGTGAATGGCAAATGATGGCAGGAAATGCAGATCATAGTGGACACCGTCAGCTCCGAGCCCCCCACTCTGACACTGCATGCCCTATCATTGCAATATCCCAGCAGCCTGTTTTCACCCACCACCAACACCCCTCCCTGCCCCCTCTGCTAACTAGTCCCTAGATTTTACTGACCAGACCAACAAATTGTGTTAGCAATTGTCAAATTCATGAAATGTGGTTTCCCTGACTACTGCTCGTGGCCGTACAGGACTGGCCACTGAACAGCTCCCAGACTATAGTCTGACATATCCCTAACTGTGAGCAGCCCAAATAGATGACTAACAGTGGCCAAGCTGACTGTGCCCATGACTGACTGTAACAAGATTCCATCACCAAACTCCCTCGGCTGGACTGAGGACTATTTGACATTTCATGGACTCATACTTTACAGTCAATGTCCCAGACACCATAATCACCATTCCTGGATATGTCCTGTCTCACCGGCAGGCCCAACAGCGGTGGTGGCACAGTGGTGTACGGTCATTGAGGGCGTTGCCCTCGGAATTCTTAACATTGACTCAAAACCCTATAACGTCGGAGGATCAGTGCAGGCTCAATGGGTTGAATAGTTTGTATCTACACTGTAGAGATTCTGTGATTCATATCCTCCACTCAACCATTATCATCAAGCCAGGGGATCAGCCTGGTTCAATGGAGATTGCCGGAGGGCATGCCAGGAGGAGCACCAGACATACCTAAAACTGACGTGTCACCCTGTGAAGCTATGAAACAAGACTACTTGCACGCCAAACTGCATAAGCAGCAAGTGATGGTTGGAGCTAAGCGATCCCACAATCTGCAGGCCTGCTACATCCAGTCGTGAATGGTGGTGGACAGTTAAATAACTCACTAGAGAAGGAGGCCCCACAATTATCCCCATCTTCAATGATGGAAGAGTCCAACACGTCACTGTAAAAGGTAAAACTGAAGCATTCGCAGCAATATTCAGCCAGACGTGCCGAGTGGTTAATCCATGTCAGCCTCCTGCCCCAGCATTACAGATGCCAGTCTACAGCCAATTCAATTCACTACAAAACAGATATCACAAAACTGTTGGTGACACTGGATACTGCAAAGGCTACTGGCCCTGACAACATTCTGGCAATAGTACTGAAGACTTGTGCTCCAGAACTTGCCGCTCCCCTAGCCAAGCTGCTCCAGTACAGTTATAATACTGGCATCTATCCGACAATGTGGAAAATTGCCCAGGCATGTCTTGTATGTTACAAGGCAGTCAAATCCAACCTGGCCAATTACACCCCCTATCAACCATCTTTCGATCATCAGTAAAGTGATGGAAGGTGTCAGCAACAGTGCTATCAAGCAGCACCTGCTCAGCAATAACCTGCTCAGTGATGCCCAGTTTGGGTTCCGCCAGGGCCACACAGCTCCTGACCTCATTACAGCCTTGGTTCAAACATAGATAAAAGAGCTGAATTCCAGAGGTGAGGTGAGAGTGACAACCCTTGACATCAACGCTGAATTTGACCAAGCGTGGCATCAAGGACCCCTAGCAAAACTGTAATCACAGTATTGAAAGTGCATTGGCATGTCAGCCAGAATCTAAAGCTACCGGGAATGACATGGCACAGCAGGAAAGGATGCTGTAAGCATGCAGGTGGGCACTGAGTGAGTAAACACTGAGGGAACAAGTGAGCATTCCTGAGATACAGCCTGGTCAAATCCATCAGCTGGGTACCTGATTGTGTGCAAAGTGTCCTTGCAGCAGTGTTTCAAAGCTAGTATCCAGTGTGCCAAGTAATCCAGGTCTGTGCTTTATCAGCAGCCTGTATGTGTATCAGACAGATGCCATGATAGTTGTGGGTTGGCAACTATTGAACGTACAAGAGGTGCATGCAGTTGGTGCTCATGGATTGTGCCCTGAACTGCTATTTTGGTGCTGATCAGTGTGGAGGCTCTTCACAGCAAAAGGCAAGCTGAGTTTGCCAGGTATCCACTCTGACTTCAATGTTGAGAATTCTCATCACCGAGCCTGCTTGGCTGGTTTGGTAACATAGGAAGGTGAATATTGATGAGGCAAGTTGGACCATTAATAAGGCATTTAATAAATAACAGTCTCCCTTATCTGGCAAATTGTTGCTGCCTAGCCCAAAACTCTCCTCACCACTCAATAAATCTATAAAAGATGCAGCAAGATGTCTAGTGGGCCCTGGATGTATCTCACCACAATCTATGTTGCTCAGGCCCCTTTCCCCACTTTGAGTGGTATCAGGAAGAAATGAGCCACCAGTTTCCCTTTCCAGTCTTCTAAAGCCAACTTAAACAGGTTAGATGGTCCCTTGTGGGGGACTGTAACAAAACAAAGTATAATGATTGAAGGAAACTTATTGGACAGAAACAGAAACTTATCCAAATTGAGCCAAAATGTTGTTACCAGCATGATGATGCACTCCAGCCCCTGCAGAGCCCATCAGCCTGTAAAGGTCTCTATTATGCCAGTGGACACAGAATGCTCTGTCTCAAAGGACACATGAGAACTAACATAACTACGAAAGATGGGCAGATGCCCAGGTACAGTGACCCCCTCCACAGCCCATTGTGTTTAAGTGTCTGATTATCAGTGACGGAGAATAGACCATTGTAGAGTCTTAACAGGCAGCACTTGTTTTTCATTATGGGATGTAGTTTTTTTTTTTAATCAACCTGTTCAGAGATGTTGTAACACACACCATGGCAGGTGGGATTTGAATCCAGACTTTCTGGTCCTGAGGTAGGGACACTGACACCATGCCGTAATGCAAAATGTGATAGATAGATAGTTTCTAATCAACCCATTCAGAGACATTTGTACACACCTCTGGAACAAATGGAACTTGAACCCAGTCCTCTTGATCCAAAGATAGAGATACTACCACTATGCCACAAGATTTGGTGTATTACATAATGGCAGTAGGTGCAATTAACATTAATTAGTTAGACAGAATTATAGCTGTCAGGAAACACATCTGCCATGTTTGTCTGTGTCTGGACCTTGTGCAAGACTAATTAATTCTCCAACCAAACACTGCTTGACATCATCAATTTGGGTAGAACTCAATAGAGTTCAACATTAACTCTTTCAGAGCTATTACCTTATACAAAAAGACAGTTGAAAGATGTTGTATAACTGCCTATTCTGGACTGCCTCTGACTTACAATCCAGGTTCCAATATGTTTAATGTAACAGGAAAGCCATCAGGTTGTTTGCTCAGACTCCAGTTAAAGTAGCAGATGGGCCTAATCAAAGCCTGATTTGCATGTGAAAGGAGGGTGATGCTGGCTAGGGGCGGTGGTTGGATCTGGATGGGAAAGAAGTGAGTAAGACCTCCATTTCATTTTAATTGGACATGGAGAGGCATGCTGCTGGGTGACTGGGAAAATGATGTCTGTTATCCGTCAGCAGTGGGTTCAAACCTGTCTACTCATACAAACTGATCTAAAACACAGTAAATATGTTGACCTTAATTTGTAGCTAATATTGTACGATTAAAATGTTTCAAACACTGTGATACTGATTTACAGTGTTATGAGATGATATTTCTGCCTTAAATATTACATTAATGAAGCCATATGATTTAGAAGTGCATTTCTTTTCAGACAGAAAGCTACAAATGCCAAAATTGAAAACAAAACATGGTGACATGCTGAAAATCCACAGCAGGCTCATCAGCATTGATTGTATCTGAAACGTTAACCCATCTTTTTTCTCTTCTCACTGTCCAGCCTGCTTTCCAGCACTTCCTATTGGTATCATTTTTTTGTTTTATTCTGCACAAAACCAGCTATACAAATCTCATTGAGCTGTCTTTGTGCATTTATATATAGGATATGTGTAAAATTAATATATAACTTTTTTTTCCCCAGATACATCGAACGAAAAGCTTTCTTGGATAGAGTCGATCACCGGCAGTTTGAGCTAGAACGTGATATCCGGCTCAGTAACATGAAGCCTTGACATTAATCTTCCAGACAGAAGTCCGTTGTTTAATGTAAACGTGCATCTACACTCTTCACAGATTACCACTGTCCCAGGCGGTGATGGTTTATGATTGTAACAAACGTACTGTAAGCAGTGACAGTCTTTCCTTTGAATTCTTTTACATTTTTAATTGTTGACCTGATGTTAAAATAAATGTTTTTTCTAAAAAAAATTATCAATAGGTAATTAGACGGTAGTTAATAGTGTGTCTCGGAGTTTTTCCTTTTTTTTTAACGACTACAACAAGTTCAATGAGGTGTCAAAGATTATTGCATGTTTTCAAACTTAATACTCGACCAGGCTCTTGCATTGATGTTATTTGGTGACAGTGCTGTTAGCTTTTGTTCTACATGGACAGAAATAAATAATTGTACTTCAGTTATGTGAATTATTTTAATTTCTACAATCTCAATCATGAATTTGCTAATGTGTCTGTAAAAATTAAAATGAAAATTAATTTGACCCAAATTCATTGTTTCCATTTTTCCTACCAGTTCAACTTTATATATTACTCATAATACTGTACACTGCCATTTAAATATTTAACACAGATTATCACCGAAATATAATTTCAGCAGGTTTGATAAATTAATGGAGAAAATACTGATTTAATCACTTTATGAAAAAATGAAAATAAAAATGAAAAGAAAGCAATCCAACTATACCATTATTAATTATTTTGGGTAATTATCACAGTCTAAAGTGGCTGTAGTTGCAAAAGTGACTTGAACAATAAGCAATGTTAGTTCTTTACAATTGCTTATTTATATTTTTAACACTATAAACCACAGGTGGATTTAAAGGAACTCTGGATAAATGCATCTAGAGTAAGCAAAAACTCTGGGGAGAAAAGAAAGTAAAAGGATATGTTGACACAGTAAGATGAAATAAAGTGAAGCTTGTGTGGAGCATAGAATGCAGCACGGACCAGTTTGGCTGAATGACCTGTTTCTGTCATGTCAAATTTTATGTACCTTGTTTGCTGAATACTGTATGCAATAATCTGGCAATTCATCCAGTTAGACAGCATGTTGCTACACCACAGAGTGTGAGGATGTAACTTTGTCCCTGTGATTTCCCCATCTGGCGGCTGGCCTGCTAGAAATAAGGTGGCAGCCAGAAGAAAGATATGTTCCAGAGAAGGATCAGAAATCAAAGCCAGGAGTGGGATTCCTTTCTTCCACTCTGTTTCTGCCTGCATAATAAACCTTACTGTGCTAACTTGTCTCTGGTGCACAGTGCAATTGCTTTAAGCCAGATGGTTATAGATTCGAGCTGCTAGATATATTTAATAACCTGGTTGGCATTACAGTGTGAAATGTAAGGTTTTCTGCATTGTCAAAAGATGCCACACTTTATTTTATCGGGAGCCCTAATTCCTGTTTTGATTTTACCGAATCTTGCTATCTCTGCAACTCAAATCAGGACCGTGGAACTTGTTGCCCAATACCTTTGTGAGAAGAACAAAGTGATGCAAAGAAAAGAACCCCAGGCACCTTCTCATCAACTACAAATAGGCAGTAAATACAGCCTTGTGAATATTGACCAATTCCAAGAAAAAGAATTAAACAAAAAAAGTCACAACTATAAGCAAAGTGAGGCAGTGCTTAGAGCTCCTGCTTGGAACAAAGGTCATCACTGCTGTTCCCCACATGTTGAGTTTCCAATTTAACCGGTACCGTTACGAGAAGATTCAGATAAATGTAAGTGCTTCCCTAATGAAGACATAAGTGAGCTTTAGCAAATTAAATTGTCTAAGGTCACTCTCTCCAATCTCCTGCAGGTTAGTTTGAAGATAGCTCTGTTTGTGTTTGGAGTGTAAGTTGTCAGTTCTTTCAGTCAGGATGTAGAATGGGACTCCAAGAAGATCTTAGAAATTAATGAACAGAACAAACCAAAAATCATTGTCCCAAACCAATTAGTGCAGCAAAAAAATAACGACCGATATTGAATGGCCAAAGACTGCCTGTGAAAGTAATTATTAGTAGTCTTGGCAACATCAACCCAGGTACCATTGAATGAGTCCCAGCTGTATGAGAGTTGTAGATTCATTCCTGACCATCATGATAAGGATTTATTTTCTGATCTGTCAATACCTATTAAAATGCATAAATGTCATATCTACAACTGGCTCTCTTCACTGTAACCTTAGATTGGTTATGGGAACTGTTTTCATCAAACTAATGCAGTTTTAACCCAGAGGGCAATTTCCACACCAAAAAAAAAATCTACAAGAAGTTGATACTTTGAGAATTTCCGGACTGGTAAAGTGAGCTTTCAGTGGAATTCTGATTTTACTCTATGGAATTCAAGTTTAATTTGAAGTCTGTGTACAGTGAAGAGGTTTTAGCTAGTGCATATTCTTGCAGACTGTATATGAATTCAATTTCAGAAGGTTAAAAGACACTATGGTTTTACCTTATAAATTTATGACTTAGAAATGCTTTTTGCTTGAAAAATACCACAGAAAACTGGGGCACAAGCTGGAGAGCACATGAAATTGGGGCCTCATTATTATGATTCAGTGAGACCATTCTATCCAAGCTATTTGTTAGCCTGTAGGAGCAAAGGAGTGGCAGGAAATCAGACTTTCCTGATGCCACTTAAAGGTAGTCAACACCTCTTAAAGGGGAGGTCCGCTTGCACAGTGAACAATAGGGAAACATGGGGGTGGATAACCTTAAAAAAGGGCACTAGGTTTCTCTGATATTGCATTGGACACCTTGATCCAGGATTTGAACAAGTATGTGCCCTGACAGCCAACAGAGAAGCCTGATTCAAAATGGGGACATGCACACTTCCTGCAGGAGAGGAATTTAAAAAAATGAAGATCACCATAAACCCAGAGACTGCTCTGTCATTACAGAGAGAGGCAACTGGTGGTGACTTTAACCTGAGGGTCACTAAACCTATGGCAAGGAGTGAGATTGAGAATGCAGGGCCTTCGTGGTGACATCAGCTGGTGTGGGAATTGAACTTGCGCGGTTGCTGTCGTTGTAAATCAGCCGTGCAGCAAACTGATCTAATCGATTGCAGAGACATTATTTCAACTGGCTGGACAGCAGGTTGGTGATGCAGAGCGACTTCAACAATACAGACTCAATTCCTTTACTGGCAGAAGTCAATATGAAAGTCCCCCTTCTCAGTCTCACTTGAGACATGGTGAGCCTAAGATTCAACTCTCTACCGGTTGCCTTTCTCAAATAAGGGAGCAGCTAATGATCCTTTGAGAGTGTGGTGATTTTCACTGAGGAATGCCATCACCCACTATATTGAATGTTTAAGCATAAAAGGAGCGTGGTACCAACAAAGTTCTCATCTAACACCTCTGCTGTAATCTCCTTACCATCTGTTCATAGATTAGTGATAGGTGACACGGGACTTCTAGTTTTATTTCCAACTTGTGAAGATGACATTGCACCCATGCAGAGCTGCTAAAACAAACTTCTATTGCTCTAAGACATTAACATTGAGTGTGTGATTGAGAATCAACTGTAACTACAAGTGTAACCACACAGATGAAAAATTCAGCACCCTCAACCAGTAGCAACATTTTGTTCATTAGCAATTATGTTTTATAAAACGTGGCTGGCTTTACTCTGTCTTCTATCAAAAACACACCACGGGAACATGTTATCACATCCTCCTGATCATAATTTGCAATTCTGCCATGACTTTGCTCCTTTCCTGATGGGAAAACTAATAAACAAAGGAGTGAGAAAGAGAGGGAATTCATGTTGAATCTCTTATTACAGGAAACATGGAATGAATTTAAAGAGGAAATGCAGATAAAGACTGCAAAAAGCCACAGAGCAGACGGATTTGGGAGTCCTAGTCCATAAATCACGAGAAATTAGCATCAAAGTTCAGTGGGCAATAGGGAGGGCAAATAAAGTGTTGGTCTTTTCTCAAAGGGAATGGAATATAAAAGTAGGGAGATTTTGCTAAACTGTACATGGCACTAGTCAGATCACATTGGAATACTGTAAACGATTTGTGAGTTCCTTGTCTAAGGAAAAATATACGAGTGTTGGCGATAGTACAGAGAAGGTTCACTAGGCTGATAATAGATATGGAGGGACTACCTTATGAGGAGATATTGGGTAGATTAGACCTGTACTTGTTGGAATAGAGAAGAACAAGAGGAGACTTCAATGAAACATATAAGATTCTTAGAAGACTTGACAGGGTAGATCCAGAAAGGTCAAAGACCAGAGGGAATAATCTCAGAATAAGGGGTTGCACATTTAAGAAAGAGATGAGGAGGAATTTCTTCTCTGAGGATTCTGAAACTGTGGAACTTTCTACCACAGAGGGCTGTTGAGGCTGGATCATTAAGTATATTCAAGGCTGAAATAGACAGCTTTTTAATCAGTAAGGAGATTGACAATATGTGGGGGAAAAGCAGGAAAGTGGAGTTGAAAATGATCAAATCAGCCATCATCTTATAGATGGTAGCCATGATGTGGAGGTTCCAGTGTTGGACTGGGGTGGACAAAGTCGGAAGTCAGTCCAATAGGTTTATTTGAAATCATGAGCTTTTGGAGTGCTGCTCCTTCAGGTAAAGTCACTTCACCTGATGAAGGAACAACACTCTGAAAGCTCGTGATTTCAAATAAGTCTGTTGGACTATAACCTTGTATCGTGTGACTTCCAACTATAATCTTATCAAATGGCAGAGCAAACTCAAAGGGCTGAATGGCCTATGTCTGCTCCTGTGTATGTGGTTTTATAATGATATTATGTTCCAATGGAGATATGCAGGAGATCATTTTCTTTCAAGAAACTGCACTGGTAGTTGGTGATAGGGCACTTGTTTACACAAAGCCATGTATTTAGAACTGTGTATGACTACAGACATGGTTAATTATTCACCTCCTGTATAAATTAAAAATGCACTGCGTATTTTTAATGGTGGCACTTGAAATTTGGATAAACACCCTAGAAACCTAATTCACATCTGAACCAGTACTTTAATGTGTTGATGATACATGACAGACCCGGTGGGATATGATTTTAATCCTAATTGGTGAACCCAATCAGATAACTCCACAGCATGTTTATAAAGTAGGCTAGAACCAGAAAACTAGCATAATTGTATGTACATTTAGGTTGTACTTATCATGGATTGCATCGTAGAGATTTGGTGTCTCAAACATATTGTCACGACATGGGAGGGAGACATTGGTCTGTTATTAACATTGTTCAGAATGCAGGAACCATTGTAATTGGTTCAAATATGTTGATTATTAGCAATGTGATTGTGCCAGAGATTACAGACTGAAGTCTGCTTGCTTTAGGCAAAACATTAGATATCCAGTGTACTGTTAATCCGTGTTTAACACTGTACAGACAAGTAATCCAGCAAGCACTAGTCAAACCTTGTAGTTTCCTTCCCATAATTGAGGAGTACAATCTGCACAACCTTCAGGTGTATGTAATACGTGCAGTGTGTTGTCAAGAGCATT